AAGCAATTCGCTGAGCAAAGCGAACTCACCCTCGCCGCCTCAACTGCAACCACTTAGACAACAAAGTGTGCGAATAAATTTTGAAAAATAAAATAAAATAAAAATAAACCAAAAAAAAAAAAAAAATATATATATAAAAAATATATATATAGTTTGAAAAAAATAATAAAAAATATCCCCACATTAAATAAACTATAAATAACAAAGCAAATGAGGAGGCAGAGAGACGAAAGCCTTCGCTACGCCTCAAACGCGTTATAAAACGAGAGACTTAAGCAGCGAACTTGCTGCTGCTCATAAACGTTTATATTATTATATAATGTGTAAGTATGTATGTAAGTATATATATTTATGCCCAACGACGACGGCATTTAGACATTATATAGCCTTTTAAACTATTGCGCAGGCCGATAGTAATCTAACTGAGGCAGGTCAGTGTTTGGAGATTTCAGCGGCGATTAGACCACTCAATACCTAGTCCCCTTGTGTTGCTAGACACTCAGGCGTTATTGTTGTAGGAAGCATTTGGTGAGCGGTGTATGCAAAACTCAGCGACTTAGCCTCAGCGCAGTTGGTGGGTGTTGCGCTGACTGCCTTGCAGCGTGAACTCGGCTTTTGAAGCAGAGTTTCGGTCAGCCTGGCCGCCCTTAAGTGCTCGCTTGGTGTCGATGGTGAGGTTACTGCTGTGTTGCTATGTCTATTGCTAAAGCTAAAGTTTTCATTGCCAATAATAATTTTATTGTTCTTCTTTATTATTGTTTTTGCATTGAAAAATGCGCTGCTTTGAGAATTTCTTTCCGTCCACCAACAACTAAATTTCGTTTGCACACATTGTAGTTGCTGCTAAATATTACTTTATACCACTTGATTTGTATTGCTACGTGCCGTCGTGCCACGAATTCACTGCCAGGCACTTTTGTTGTACGAAAGTCTTGGGTCTCTGCTGACTGCCGTATAAACCTACATATTTATATACATCTACACTATATTTTTTTCCACTGCACGTCCGTATGGAAATGAATACGCCGTCATTATTGTTTGGCAAAATTGTATAAAATCTTCTTTATTTCATTTAAATGATGACTTGAATGCAGCTGAAGCTCTAAGCCCAGCAACTACTGTCGGAACGCTGTGTGAGTTGGTGGATATTTATGTGTATGTGTTATGTGTACGTGTGCATGCATGTTATGGAAGAATAGTTACTTTGTTGCCTTGAAAAAATGGAAAAATTTAACTCCTTAAATACTATCCTCTAGTGACTCATTCTAGTTCAGGCTCTCCATACCTTGAATGGCCATCATGCTCTCTTCAGCCTTATGATATCGCCGTCAAGATCATTTTTGAAAAGTTTCTACAGCAACTTAAGATGCGGAAGACCTTATGAACATTTGTTCGACTTGAGACTGGAGTTTCACTCAGTTAACTAGGAGGTCTTCTTCCCAACCAATGAAGCAATTTCTCTCTGGAGACTTTCTTTGTTGTGGGCTAAGAATGGATAGACATCTGGAGTTGTCTTTGGGGTATTCGCAGAGAGCGAGCGGCAGGTATGCCTGTCCTGCGACGAGGTAGAAAATATTTGATTTAATATTTGGAGAAGATGCAGTAAAGCGAGTTGTTAAAAGCAATTTGTAAAGGTGGATGGTGGTTTCTGGTTTCTCAGTGACGACGTGGCGAAAAGCGGCTATAGTTGTGTTGATTACTGCGGTCGTAGGATGGTAACTTATTACAGTTGACTATAGTTCAGTCCTTGTTTTAAGGGATGAAATACCCAAATGGACCTGTTGATATAGGATAACAGCTAAATCTTGTTTACATTTCGACCGGCCCCCGCATGGTAACACGTACTGCCAAGCACCCGGCTACTGCTGCCGCCAGGAGAGATACTTTGAATAGGCTGACACCTCTTATCAGGGTTCAAACCCTTGATATTCCTCATAACAGCCTGGAAGTCCAACGCAGAATCACTTTGGCCAACAGGTGCTACTTTGGACTGAGTATACAATTGAAAAGTAAACTCCACTCTCGACGAACAAAGACCAAACTCTACAAGTCACGAATCATTCCCCTCCTGCTCTATGTTACTGAGACATGGCATTTGAGGACTCGGCATTAGAAGTTTTCGAGAGAAAGATTTTACGTAAGATTTAGGAGATTTAGAACCCTCTGCGCATGGGGAACGGCGCATATTGCAGTCGATATATATGACGAATCAAGTTAAAGCGGGTAGACTGGATAGGTCATGTGGTCCGAATGGTTGAGAATACTTTGGCCTTAAAAGTATTCGATACAATAGCCGACGGTGGAAGCAGAGGATGAGGAGGACCTCCACCCCATCTAATGGATCAGGCGAGAACAGAACTGAATTTCCCATTGACATCAAACAGCGAAAAGAAATAAGGAATGGCACACCGTTGTTATCGCCAGTAAAGAAGAAGAAGAAGAAGAAGAAGAAGAAGAAGAAGAAGAAGAAGAAGAAGAAGAAGAAGAAGAAGCACGACATACAGCCCATTGGGCTTTAAGTTATTGTATTGTAGTAGGCTACAAATGTAGGATCTAGAACAGGAACCATGCTGCAGGTTAGATTGAACAGAGTGACAAATGTGCGCTATGCAAGCTCGCAAGCCCTCAGGGTATGCTTTGCACTGTCAGGCATGCATGCGTTCTTCAAGCACTACTGCGAAGACATGACTAGCTTAGCACCGGGAACCGTTTTAATAGCTCACACAACAATTTATGTATAGTTCCTCCGTCCGATATCTATCCCAGCACATGTAATCCACTCGTACGCCTACCTTAGTACTTTCCGACCGATAACGCTCTTGGGTCTTACTCTCTCTTGGATTTTATTATGTATTAATACTTTGCAAGCAAATCAACTTGAATTTCGAGATATTTTCTACGAAATGGTGCAACGACTTTCAATTCAGTCAAAAAAAAAAATCGCTATTAATGATCCAAAGAAATCGAGCTCACCGAACTTAGTCCATTTCTTAGCTTCTTGAATCACCGAGTTCAACTGCGGTTTCCACTTCAAGTTAAGTGGCTATTTGAACACTGCCTACAGTCTTCCTTCTACCCGCCCATCGCCCTCTCATTAAGCATTACTTCAGCTGGAATTTGAGCTGGAGCTAAGAAATGCCACAACTGTCTGCGTCAATTTGTACGAAAAATATTTATTCGCCTTAATAGACATCAACACGTCCGAAAGAGATATTTTTATTATTTTCGAAGAACAAAAAAAAAAATAAAAAATCCTGCTTGCTCCACTTTGGTCGTAGATACATACATATGTACATACAGAGCAACCGTACTTTCAAATGTGTTGTTGTTGTTGTTGCTATTGTTATAATGATTCCTCACCCTGAGCAAGTAAGTGAAACGCCCATTTATTTCACCACATCGACGCGCCCCATATGTTTTTTTTTTTACTTATCGTCATACATACTTACGCTCGTACCTCTTTCTGCGCCTTGAGTTGACAAGCAGCAGCGCAAAAATTTCTTAGCATTCATTTTATGAAAGCCAAAGGTAGCCACTCTTTAAATGAATCAAAGCAACGCGAGTCCAGCAAGAAGCATTCGCGTAGTTGGTTGGTTGCTTGCTGAGGGCAATCCTCGCGGCGGCAGCAGTTTCGCTAGCTTTTTATTTATAAATATATATATGTATGTGGTATGTGGAGTTATACTCGTTTGGTGGAATGTCTGCGTTGCAAGTCGCAACGTCGATCGTGGGATATTCTTTTTTGTTGAGTGCACACAGCTTGCTCTTGCCCACTCAGTCCTACCTTGCAGCAAAGCAGATGCCACAAAAGTAGCCCAGGCAGCCACTAGAGCTCACGAAAGAGAAAATATGACTTTCACAGAGCTTCACAGATGCGCCAGGGCGTCCCCAGAAAGCCCGTCCAGGAGCTCACCAAGAGAAAGAAGTTTAAAAGGCATTTGAGGCATCAGAGAGCATCTTTACTTTCTTCGTTTTAACAACAAAATTTATCCTTAAACTCCTATTCACCTCTGCAATATCTACTTTGGTTCGCTGGGTTGTTGCGAGTAACTAAATATGCGCGCCTCTGCTGCCAAGTGCGTGGACTTGCTGCCACATTCGGCATCACAGGTGATAACTAAAGGCTCTGATGCTAATGTGATTACAGCCTTTAAGTTTATAAACATCGGTTGAGCATCAACAACTTGACTGCCTCTTGCGCTTGCGCTGGTCAACTGTTGCTGCTGCTGCTGCTGCTGCTGCTGGCACTGATTTTGCAAGGCAGTCAATTCTATGTGGATTGGCGATTTTGTGTTTTTGTTTTTACTCCAGCTCTTTGTTGCGTATCGGATTTTTGTTTTATTTCATAATTATTTTTGGTTCTGCCCAGCTGTCCTCGCAGCGGTGAACATCAAGCGGATATATTGGCCGCTTCAAAATAATATATGTGTATGTATTTGGGTATTTTGTTTTTTTTTTCTTGCTTCATTTTTAGTCTTGCCAATCTGCCTAAATACGATATGAATTTTGTGCCGCCTTCAAATGATTTTGGTTTTTACTTTATTGTATTTCTCATTTCTACATTTGGGGAATCTCGGCACGCCGCGTAATGGTGTCGAAATGTTTAATTGATGGTAAAGAGAAAGATTTATTGCTGCACCACATGTGTTTATTCAAAATTACTATAAAAACGATATTTATACGGAAGTCGGTAGTTATCACGAATAGTAAATGATCATAATTATTTGCTGGCTGATGATGGATGGATTTTTATTATTAGTTTTCAAAGATAGCGCTCATTTGTGCGCCTTATATGAATGTTATTTAAGTGTTTCTGATTGCCTTAGAGATTTTCAAAACAGCCTTTCGTGGCTTTCAATTAAAACAAATTAGAATTTTAGCAGCTTAATATTCCACTTCCGATTTTCTTTGTATGTCTCTTCGTATGAACATTATTTTATGTTGTTTGGTGTTCTTAAAGGAATTTAACAAATAGAATTCCAGGAGAAATTAAACAAAGCTTTATATACCACTTCTGATTTATTTATTCTGACTTACTAAAAAGTGTAAGCTCCGCTCTCAGTAATTTCCTAGTTCTACTCCGGGCACCAGGTTTGTGCCCATTTCAATGCTCCTTATTTCCTTTTTAAGTTCCTCATAAATTTAATATTTTGTACGGTTGTGCCAAAGAAATTTAGTCAATAAATAATTAAAGTTTCGCCAGCATTGATCAATACTTAATATCCCACATCTGAATGTTTGACTCAGCTTTGCTAACTAAAAGATATAAGCTTCATTCCAGTATACGAAAGAAGTCACAATATTTTACGATTTCTGCCGTAGTAGACGTTTGAGCATTTCCCATAAAGCGCCTTATAAGTTTTCCTCAGGAAACTGGTGTGACTTAAAATGCAGATCACTTCCTTTGTTGAAAATACAGCAAAGTATAACAGAAATGCAGGAGATGATCGGCCAAAAACCGCTTAAAAAGTTATAAGGCGTCAATAATGATATTTATGTATATGCAAATATTTTAAATATGTCAATAAGAACTTGCCTGCAACACTATGAGGTGTTGATTTGGTTCCGTAAATGCATAATTTTTTTAACTTTCTTTCCAAGGTGTATCAATTCCTCCTGGGTAGGAAAGTGTGTTGCCAAAATTTGGGTAAAATAACATTGTATTCAATTTCACAGACAGTCAGAGCGCATCTTCCTACTTTCTTTGGATTCTCTGCTTTGCCTAAAGTTTTTACATTCTAATATCATATGGCTGTCATTATTATTGAGTTGTACTCTATCAGTATTTCATTGTTATTTAAGAGTAGAACTACTTTGGAAGTGAAGCTCGTGATTTTAATAAAGTCATCCGCCCACATACATATGTATGTAGATTCATATTCGCCTGAAATCGTACTATTAAATCATATATCATATCATAATTAGTAATTTATTACCTTTGTCCAAGTTACGGCGATAGATCCTACCCTTTCAAGTATTCTTTCCTAGAAATCGAAGTATACTAAATCCAACTTAACTACGAAAGGTAGTTCCACTTTCTTTCATATCTCGTTATGGGTTTTTTGGTGTATTTTAAACATTTACACACGTAAATTTTACTTTAGATTACTCTTCCCATATTGAAAATACATAAATTGGAAACAAATTTCGTATAAACCCAAAACTTCAGCAATTGCTCTTGCATTTTTTTAATGCAACTATTATTTTCAGGGGCCGTTATTTGACTGTCAAATATCATCTGTCATCTGCTAACTATCTTGTTACATTAGCTTTGAAACTCAGTAAGATTAGTACAGCGGCTTTCAGGGTTTAAACTATTGTCCGCTAGAGGTCACCTATAACTGGTATAGTGAAAGTATGTTTTCCGCTATGCAAGTTTGACTGCTAGATGTCGCCTGAATGCAATTTCCTTTGGAAATGGCAGCACTGAGTCAACTGTCAAAATTCAATTGTGGCAACGGCAGTAAAAATTTTGCTTATGGATTTGATAACAATCGTTTGGCAGCTCTGTTTTAGCTCACTTGAAAAATTCATTTCTCAACAAACACATGAAGATATTGTAATGTATTTTCGAAATCAGCGAAGAATATATTGAGCCGCCTACCTTTTGGTAAGTGAAAAAGTCTTAGTTTCGTTCATTACTTCATACTTTTTATTTATAATTAACAGTTCAATTTCCTCCTCTTTGTGGATATTCAAGCAATTTTCGATTACTCCATGGATTTATGGCACATGAAAAGTGACAGCGTTTAAAATTTTACCAATAAGTATATAAGTATATGGATATTTTTTATATTCCTAATTGTTTTTAACACACTCGGATCAGCCTTTTCTTTCTATTACTTCTACTCCAAATCGATGCCCTCACCATTAACTTGAATTTTAATAGAGACATCAAGCGGCGGCGTTGACTCGCGACTGCCAGCTGCACTAGTAACCGGTGAACGATACGGCAACTCATGCAATTGTATATCTGCAGCACTGTTACGTCTCAATGAACGGCGACGTGTATTCAAATTCGCCACATCCCGTTCTTGTGGAATCAGCAAATTGTTTTCCTGCTGTTGGCGCAAACGCGATTGCGCATAAATTGCATCGGTTAAGTCCACAATAGTAGTGTTGGCACGCAGTGTAGTATTGTCGTCAGGTGTAGCCAGTGCAGCTGCTTCTTCGCCATAACCACACTCAAGTGCATGCTGCAATTGCAAAGCCGCCAGTTGACGCGCCTGATGACTGCTCGAGTAACGCCCATCGGCGGAACGGGAACGACGTTTCTTCACCGCCTCAGCGCAAACGGTAAGTAAGTTCTGCAATATTTTGGTGTTTAAAGATTTATCGAATTCTTATTTCTATCAGCATAAAACCTAGTACACACCTCATCCATGCCATCATGCGCCACGCCGCGGCGCAGACGACGCAAACCATGCTGCTCCTCCAGTTTATTGGTCATTGTGGACATCCAATCTTTAGCATGCGCCAGTGACATTGAGGATTGTGACCGTTCTGGTAGGCGTGTGGGAAATAATGTTTCGTGTGTACCAGTAGTGCTACCAGCTTCTAGTACGAATATACGCGGGAAATCGATTACAAAGTCACGACTACGCATTAGCTCCCCGAGTACGCCAGCACGATGTACTCCAGCGGGTAGTTCTGTGCTGGGACTTCTATTAACAGTTGCCGTGGTGGTGATGTTGTGTGATTCGCCTGGTGGACGATCTGGTTCATATTCTAAAATGCTTTCTTCACTGCCCAGGAACTGAATGGAAAGGGAGAAAAGGTAAGTGTCTGTGAAAACTAAAAAACTCTTAAGGGCATACAAGAGGGAATGAAGTATGAAGTTGTGTTCTGAAGAAAAAGTCCTAGTATATAAGAGCAGCAAATGACAAACGATGCAATCAAGCTTGATGTGTGATTAGAGTGAAGTGATTATATCCCAAGTGCTTTTAAAATAGATTTCGAATTAAACTTTAAATGATTTTCAAAAATCAGTGGTGGAATATTTATTTACAAATCATGATGACGATGCAGTGCGTGGATCAAGCATTTTCATATGTTGTTATTTGCAAATACTAAAGGTGAAACCCGTAAATGAGAAAACTAGCACAATTTGTGGAACACTCTCTTACATATACATATTTTACGCATAGTTTTGAGATATTTTCGATTTATTTTCGTAATTTTCAATTAGCGCGCTTAACTAACTTACATATACATATAAATAGATATATTAATACATAAACACATGACTCAGTTATTACATATTAATATGTATGTAGGTATGTACAAATTTAAGGTTAAGAAAATTTTGTTTTTATATTTATATTTCTATAAGCATATATGTATGTATGTATATTATTCTTAATAATAGGGATTGTTGCCATGTTTTACATACCAGTAGTCAGTGTGCTTTATATGTATATTTAGAATATTTGTATTTTTTGCTTATTGTTTGTAATATTACTTGAAATAATAAATCGTTTCTTTAAGATTACTTTTTTAGATTTTTACTATAACATATTTAAGTTGAAATGACACAAGAATTATAACTGACTAAAGTAAACAAGCTTGACTGGAAAAAGGAGTACTTAGTTATATCGGAGCACGACTACTAAAAAGAAATTAACGAAAACTCTTGAATAGACGTAATAAAAAAATAATACATATTAGAAAATTTCTTGCATTTACATATGTATGTATGTACAATACATGACGTGTGTATGATGAGGACCATTGTACGTTTATTTATTAAACCGACATTTAACTATTTTTAAGTTTTATTTATATATGTCTTTCAGTAATATTGTTTTGTAGTTTTTTCTTTCTATTTCTGTTGTTGAACATTTATAATTTTTATTCATTTCGAACAACAAAGTCTTATGCTTGGTACTGGGAATAAAAATTTTAAATGAGAAATAATTTATGCTTCAATCTTGGATTTCGAGAACAATTAAAAAAACATTAATATTTGCAGTCAATTTGAAAAAAAAAATTGAAATTCTGAAAAAAAGCTTTCTCCAAATGAGTATTTTACAACACTGCAATTAGTTTTTATTTTATATTATTCTATTTTGTTTTATTTTATTTTATTTTATTTTTTTTATTTTATTTTATTTTGTTTTATTTTGTTTTATTTTATTTTATTTTATTTGTTTTATTTTATTTTATTTTATTTTATTTTTTTTTATTTCATTTTATTTTATTTTATTTTATTTTTTTTTATTTTATTTTATTTTAATTTATTTATATATTTATTTATTTTTTTGCTTTATTTTATTTCATTTTATTTTATAATATTTCAATTAATTCCAATTTAATTTACTTATTTATTTAATATTCTCCATTTCCTTAATAATGTTTTATTTTAGTTTATGCATTTTCATTTATTTTGCTATATTTAATTTTAATTATTTACTTGCTTTTCATTCTTATTAAATTTTTCTTTTTTTATTTTATCATGTTTTATTACCTTTAAATGTATTTTATTTTATAGAATACCTAAAAATTAGAAAACCTGTAGCATACCCCCAGGCGCTAATCAGAGGGCAATATGTACTTTGCGAAGCGAACAAAAAAACCTTCTTAAATAACCTAAAATGGGATTTGCTCTTGATTCTCCATATCGCATAATGTTCACCGTACCTAAAAACCTTAGCATACCCTCAGGCGCAAAGTAATGTATTCCGCATTTAAAAAATGAAAATATTGAAATTCTTTAAGGACTTTATGAAAATTTTAAATAACTATATTTTTAATTATTCATACAATATGTTAACTATTCTACACTACAAACTACATATACATATTTGTAAGTATGTATTGTAATTTGAAGAGATATTTATTAAAATTTCTTTATTATTACATTTTGCGCTTATTTGCTAAATACTATTTTAATAGCAATTTTATTAAGTAACACATAACTGCTGTTCTATTTCATATTTTAATTATTATTATTTTTTTTTATTGAATACTCGTATAATATATTATATATTTAGCAATAATTAAGCATAATTATTAAATGACTAGTCAATAGTCACCACGACGTTTTTTCAAGCGTTGTGTTTTGTATGTGTGTGTGTGTGTGGAACGGCACACTTGATTGCTTGCCTAGCACTTATTTTATTTTATTTTTTCACAAAATAATAAAAAAAAAAAAATTATTTTCAAAGTTTGTATGTACACAAGTGTGTAGTTCAGATATGGCTAGCGGTTGGGTAGACATTGGCGGATTAAAATATTTTTTTTTTTTTAATTTTTAAATTTTTTTTAATTTTAAAATATATTTACAGCAAAAAAAAAAATATTTATGAAAATATACTAACGAAACAGGAAACAATTTTAATTAAATTTAAATTTATTTGTTAATTAAATTTTTTTACAGTCCTGTTAACGCATTTGTAATATTGAAAGTGTGAAAAAAATCGAAAATTCGTTTATAGAAAATTAAGAAAAAATTTTTTATACAAGCAGAAAAAAAAAATGCTCGAAGTGGATACAAAAATATATACAAATCAAATATAAAATAATTTGAATATTTTATATAAATTATTTTATATTGAATTTTTTTAATATAAATTATTTAAATTACAAAAGTATAAGCAAAAGGAAAAGAAAACGAAAATAATGCATTTGAAAAATTTCATAATTGTAATTTCTTAACCATTTTCGCTGCATGTCTACCCCCACACCAATACGCATACATTTTTCCAATCGTTTTAATCATAAGCCTAAGCGCTAAGTCTTAAAGAGTCTCAAACTGTTTTTCTCGCTTAAATACTTAAATATTATACGCTAGCAATGTACAAATTTTGTTTATATATATATATTATATATATATATTGTTTAGCGCTTAGCATACGTAAAGCAACAACAAGACAGATAAATAGATTCAAAATCTTAATTTGAACAAAAAAAGAAAATTAAAAAATAGCAATAAAATTATTTACATTAAAATTTATAATTTTAAAACTAAAATACACTTTTAGTGATGTGATTAGCATTTATGCACGTGTGTGTGTGTGTGTGTATGTGAGTGTCTGTTTCAGATGAGTTGTAGCTGAGCGCCCAAAGCAAATATCTAGCGAAAATTCCAACATTTCGATTGCCATCAATTCATCAGCTGTTGCGTTAATAATATTTGGCGTTGTTGTTTTTGTTGTTATTGCACTTAAACATCTGTCACTTGGTGACTCGCCGTGGACACTTGCAATACCAGAGGCGCCGAATTGCGACGGATAATGTGAGTGGCGGTAGCGGCAACGGGTGCAGTACTGCTGTTGTTATTGTTGTTGTTGTTGTTGCTGTTGTTACTGCCAACACCACTATGCGTTTGACCGCCACAGCAATAATTACCGTTATTACTGCTGTTACTATTACAACATCTATTATCACTCGGCGTGTTGTTGCAACAGCTGCAATGATTTTGACTACAACTATTGCTACTAGTACCACTACTACTGCTGCTACTGCTACCACTACAACTGCCCGCGGCACTAACGCCACCAGCACAATTACAGTTAGGCGTCAGTGCATATGCTTGTGTATGTTGATGATGATGCTGCGCATGCGTCGCTGATACTGACGACGATGCCGGCAGCTGTGTTTGTGTTGCACTATTAGCATTTGTTTGTGGTTGTTGCTGATGCTGTTGCTGTTGCTGTTGCTGATGCGATTGCTGTGTCTGTGTTGATGACTGTTGTTGAGCCGCCGAGTAAGGCGGTGCTAGCGCAACTACAATGACCTCCACATCATTCTCACCACCCAACGTTGGCAGCGCGGGTGGCACATGTTGTGGACTTGGTGTTGTGTGTATTTGATCACCCACCACAAAACCGTAAAATTTCAGCACATCCAACTTGCACATCGGACAGGTGCGATGCTCGATTAGCCATGGATCGATGCAGTTTTTGTGAAATTCATGACTGGAGAAAAGAGATTTAGTAAATTTGTTATTAGTTTTTGTTGTTGTTTTTTTAAGCAATAGATTTTACTCACTTGCAGGGCAATACTCGTATGCAATCGGATGGTTTATATGCCTCAATGCATATGGCGCAACAATCGCTATCCAAATCCTTCTCATCGCTGCTTTTACCCGTTTTTGTTGGTATCTTCATGATGGCTTTTTTGGTTACGGAACACAGCTGACGCTGTTGGAGAAGAAAAGGAAGTAGAACGTGGTTGAAGGCTTAGGGAGACTTAAAAAAATATAATACTTTTTTCCTTCCGTTAAATATTTTTTTAATTTCATTTTATTTAACTTTTGGGTTATTTCATTTTAGTTTTTTCTTATTTGATTTTATTTTATTTTATTTTAATTTAATTTAATTTAATTTAATTTAATTTAATTTAATTTAATTTATTTTATTTTATTTTATTTTATTTTATTTTATTTTATTTTATTTTATTTAATTTTATTTATATTAATATAATTTAATTTAAGTTTATAAAATTATGTCACCTACCGATTGCTGATCCTTCGTCTGCAGATATCTAAAACGTTGTATGTAGTAGAAAAGCAGCCACACGAGCGAGATCACCATCAGCACGATGAAGGAGACGGACACGAAGAGCACAGATGTTCTACGAATAGTTTAAGAAATATTTTGTGAGGAATTTAAAATTGGTAATTTTAAGGATTTTATAAAAATATGTAAATCAAAAAGTCGAAGAATAAATATATAAGGTGAAAGAAAATAGAAAGGCAACATATTTACAAATAAACCATAATATATTATATATAAAAGTGAATATATATGTATAATATATGCCACAACGAAATAGTTTATAAAATATTTATTTTCAATATAAAAAACATTTAAAGCTTAAAATTGTGTTTATTAAAAAGAAAATAAATTATTTAATTAAAATGTGTTAAACCGAAATTATTTTTGGATTTAAATGTTTTAATTGCTAAAATAACTTGTTTATTAACATGTAATTATTTTTAAATTATTATTTTTATTTATGTTTAGGAAAATAGAATCGGAAAGTACACAAAAATATATATTTGTATTTTATTTAATTTTTTTTTCATTTATGGAATTTCATCGGAAATATGAGATAATTTGGCATGCCAGCGCCTGAAAATTACTAGAAATTTTGTATTAAAATCTGGAGGATATTTCTCCGTAGAGTTCCAAACAACTGGAATGGAATTAGACAGTAGATATTCCGAATAATTTTTTGGTAATTTTTATTGGAAAAGCTAATCAATATTTTTTTATTTCTTTTTCAATATTTTTGGAATTTTCCTTAATTTTACATTTACTCTTTTTTATTTCATATTATTTTCCATTATATTTTGTTATTACACAAATTAAATATTTTTATTTTTAACTATTTTTTATGTTTTTTTATTTTTATTATGCGTTTTATTTTCCTTCATCTCAAACAATGCATGAACTCGGATATGTTGTAGAACAGTATACATCGCAATAACGCATCGCACTACTACAGAAAAGCTAATGGTTCTTGTTGTTGTTTTCAAATTATTAGTTTTTATAATATTTTATATTTTTATATAACATGTTGTTGGTATTTTGTATGTAACTTTATGAAAAGATATTGATTTATTTTTTAATACTTTGCAACTCAACAAACGAGAGAACAATACTACTACGAACTTACTTTTTTATGATCTACAACATATCCGAATTTCATCCAAAATGCAGGCGGCTACCCTGTACGCTTTTCTTGTAGTATCTAAAAAAATAAGTGTAATAGGAAAATTCAAATATGTACATACACATATAAATAGAAGAAATAATTTTTGGAAGAGTATGTAAATTGGTTTTTATTTTTCTTTGTTTATATAGAGAGAGGAGATATTTTTTCTGGACAATATTTGAGATTAAGTAAATAGCTTTTTTTCTAAATTTCATAGTCTAATATTGACAAATACAAAATGACTGAACCAAAAAAATTAAATTACATAAAGAAATCAAGTAAAAAAGTAAAAAAATAAATAAAATTAAACTAAAATACTAAAATAAAATTAAAAGAATACAAAGAAAAAATAAACGAAAAAAATAAAAAAAAGAATTAAAAATAAATTATAATAATAAAATAAAATAAAAAGAAATGGAATACAATTAAATTAAATTAAGTGAAATATAAATTAAATAATATAAAGGAATCAATTGAATAATATAAGTAAACAATATAAATTAAAATTCAATAACATAAATTTAAATAAAATAAAAATAATTTAAATTAAACAAAATAAAAAAATCAAATTAAAAATGTAAATTAAAATAATTAAGTCAAATTATAGTAATATAATTAAAAAATAATAAAATAAAAAAATATTTCGAATAAAATTAAAGATAAATTTTAAAAAATAAAGAAATGCATAAACAAATAAAATAAATTAAACAACATTTAATAAAATAAAAAATATAAATCTAGATAAATTAAAATTAATTAAAAAATTTATTAAATTAATATAACATTAGAATTAAAAATTAAATTAAACAAGTTTAAAATAAAAGAAAACGAAATGAAATAAATTTAAATTAAATAATATAAAGAAATAATTAAATAATATGAACAACTAATGTAAATAAAATTTTAACATAAATTTAAAATAAAACAAAAAAAAATTAAATAAAACAAAGTAAAAAAAAACTTTAATTAAAAATGCAAAACAAAATATAACAAAATAATTGAAACAAATTGAAACAATATGAACAAAAAATTATAAAATAAAATAAATTTAAAATAAAAATAAAATAAATTAAGGCAATATAAAATTTAAGAAATAAATAAATGTATAAAAAAGAAAATACATAAACCAAATTCAAACAATATAGGACAAATAAATCTGAAATGAAATATATTAAAATGAAATAAAACAAAACAAATTAAAAAAATAAAATAAATTAAACAACTTTTAATCAATAAATTATATAAATCAAAATTAAAATATATTAAATAAAATTAAAATAAATATACTAAAATAAATTAATTAATAAATTTAAAGTAAATTAAAAACTAAAATAAAGTACACGTAGAATAGAAAAGATAAAATTAAAAATATTATTAAAATATAAAATAAAATAAATTAAAAAAAAAATGAAATAAAATAAACTATATAAAATAAATAATGTAAAAAATATAAATTAAATTAAATTAATAAAATAAAATGATTTTAAATGAAAATAGTAAAAGTAAAATAAAATATGGCGAAATATGATAAAATTTAATAAAATAATATTTACTTAAATTAAATAAAAATCAAAAAAAAATATAATAAAATTAATTAAATATACTAAGATGAAGTAATGAAAATTTTGAAAAAACATTCATACATCATTCAGTCCATTTATGTAGGTAAATAGGCAATTTATTTTCGTGATTTAACTGCAAATTTACACTGGTCGCCTGCCACACAACGCAATTGTGCAGATACGTAAAAATATATATATGGGAAGTTCAAGAAACTTCCATTTTTACAGCAGTAAACATTTCAAACCTAATAAACAAACAATCATGGACAAACTTTTGACGACTTAAATTTTTACTTTTTTATATTTTTTTTATTTTTTCCATACCTCGCTACCGTTGGTTGTGCGGATAATGCTAATTTCTTATTCATTACCCAAAAAGCGTGTAGTTAACCTTCCTACACGCGACATAAGGAGGCTAGCAAAATTATTCGTGACGAACGTGAAAAGTATTTAAAAATTACTGAATAAAATAAATAACCAGACACAGGCGTAAAATATACAAAAATTATAAATATAAAACCATTATAATGATTTAAGAGGTACTAGAAAATTATGAATAAAAAAATTTAAAAATATAAAAGAAAATTAGAAATTGTATAAACAAATAAATAAATAAATGTAATTTTAATAAATAAAAAAATATATGAATAAAATACATTGAAAATTAACAAAAAAAAACATAAGTTGTGCCAAAAATACTAAAAAATTTTAATAAAATATATGAAATAATAATAAAAATAAATTTTGTTGAAAAATAAATACTTAAAATATATAACAAGAATTTTTTAAATTATTGCTTGCGCACAGAAGCAGCTAACAAAAAAAAATCAGCGTAAATTTTGCGCATTCCAACGCTTTTATGCATACAAATGTGTTGACATCTGGATGTATGTACATACGTGTATGTTTGTGCTTAAACGCCCATAACTGCGCCACGCCATTCTATTGTACTTAGATATGCACATTCAGATATACAAAGATACCGATATGCTATATATATATATGAGTACTCCCAACAACTGACAGGTGTGTTAGCACTACTGAGCTTAACGTGCACAAATTTGTAAAAAAAAACATAAAAAATAGAAATAATGTAATGAAAAAACAGTTTTCGCCGGTTTTGTTGTTAGCCTGTGCAATTTAGACTCAGACATGCTTTTTACAGGTAACATTTACATACACATGGATACATTTGTATTTCAGCAAAGCAGAAAGAAGATTAAAGCAATTCATCCACTGTTGTTAACACCAAACGACTTTATGTTAAATCTAAACTTAATCTTTATTATGGTGAGCAGTAAAAATTCAATTTGTTTATTTTATGCTTAAATTGCGTTATTCTTTTACTTATCACAGTAACAAAAAAAAAATGCAAAAACAACAATGAAAGTATAGAGAGGTTTTGCACGTAAACTTGGGAGTATTTGAAGACAACGCAAGTGGCTGTTGCGTAGTGGAAGAAAATCGCGTGGAAATACACAGGAAAATACCACCAGCCTCAAAATAAAGAGGTTGGGATGATTTTCGGAATACCATGCACACTTCAATGCCCAGTAGTACTCGTTTTAATATTCCTTTTTTTAAAACACCAAAAAGGAAATTGAAAAATAATTAGAATTATATTAAAGTTTAACAAAATACTAAGATCTATTTAAATTAAATCAATACATACAATTTCTAGAAACTAAGGGAAGTATATAAAAATTAATTAATAAAAGAATTATATATCTTTCCAATTTTTAGACTTATTTTCGAGAACTGGAGAGGATACACAATTGGCACAGAAACAAAAAATACAGTATTAAAAAAAGTTTTGCGAAAAAGTTTTAAAAATTGAAGTCCTAATTAGCGAAAATTTTTTTAAAATTGTGTAAAATCAACACAAAATATTAAAATTCAATATAAATAAACAAAACCCTAATGGTAATCTGAAAAATTTCTCTTTTTGAGTTTTAACTACCAAAAACCACTTAAATTCTCTGCTGGGTAAATGCACAATATAGCCACGCATTTATATACTTCACTCAGGCGTAACAATGCTCCAGACTTAGTACGCAAATTTAGTAAGGATTTTCCATGGCTGAAAATTCTATGTTTTAAATTGGCCAGCAATAAATACCAGCAAGCAAACAGTTTTTATGTAGACATATAAATTTATGGGCATACAATGTAATTGAAGTGGGCACATATATTTGTTTTAAACATTCAAAACATTTATATACTATATCCACAAAAATGAAATATAAAATAAAAAAAGAATTAATAAAAAAAAATATAATAAATATAAGTTATTGAAAAAGAATAAAAATGAAAAAATAAAACGAAACGAAAAAGGCATATCTAAAAAAAATAAAAACCCCCTCCTTTATTGTAGACTTATTGCCGCAATTTTAGCTGGATTAAATCTTATCTTAATTTGTGGGCAGTAAATTGGTCTATTTTAATACCAAAATTAAGGTAACTCAGTTTTTATATTATACATTTAACTATTTAATGGTAAACTCAATGATTAGCCACAACTACATACATGCATATATGTATATATTCGGTGCAAAGTTCATATTTTACTTAGTAGCAGTTATATTGTGTAAAACACATTTTTGCAAAATTTATTTTCAGATTTTTTAGTAACTCATTGATTTTTGATCATTTTTTGATAATTTTATTATTAAAAATTTTGGAGTTGAAGATTTTTTTAATGACAGCTGCGGTGTTTAAAAATATTGAATTTTAATGTGAATTGCTGTGGAAGAGTGAATTATGTCAATGAAAAAAACGTTACCTACATTTAGGCTAACTTTATAGCTTACCCAAGATGCATACCGCAACTATGGAAAAGCAATAATGAGCCGTCATTAATTTAAAAAGAACTTTTTTTATTTCCTGATTTATATTCCAAATATAAATTCAAGTCAAGTACTTGTTTGTTGCCAATTTTATTTAATAATCTCAAATATTTTATTTAATTTCAAAACCGGTCAGGGAAAAGACTTTGTCAAACATTCATAATATTTTGAATTGTATATTATTTTATACTTTACACACATACAATATTATATTTTCCAATATAATTTCGAAAAACAATTTTTTCTTAAATAAAAAGTAAAAAATTTGTGCCTACATTTAGGCCAACTTCAAAAGTTTATCCAAGACGCCTGCCTGGCATTTGAAAAAAAAAAAACATTTTACCAGCAAAAATAGTTTATGCTTTTCTAAAATATTCTAAGTTTTCAACTGCTGTGATGTCATTTTCTACTTTGAATATATATGTAAATATATTTGCCTAGTTAGATGCTTAAAATAAGCTACAAATAAAAGCCTTAAAATTTTTTACTTCCCACTGAGCATTCTTTGAATATTGTTTTTGTGTCGTGACCCTCAGTTAACCGTTACAATTCTTTTTAAACGATTTTTCTTTAAGCCAACAGAAATGTAAAATATAAATTTTTTCATTCACTTGAGCATCGAGAGAGCAATGAAGTATTCGTTATGAGCACGCTTTTCTAAACTCCCAAAATATATTTTATAGAAATGTTTATATCACTCTCAAACTACCAAATACCCACAGACCATCTTCATAATCAACTCTCAGCGCAAACGGGCTTCACACATACTCGCTGTAAGCTATTAACTTCTTGTGCTATAAGCTCAACTCGCCCGTTGCTTAACGAGCTCTTTGGAAATATTTGGTAAATTTATATGTGCCCAAGTCTCTATGCGCCAAGAAGTATGCTAAGAATTTCGGTTCGACTGAAAAAGTTCATTGACTCCACTGAGAATTGCAGATTTATTTATATAAAAGATTTTCTTTTTTTGAATAAAGACGAATTTTTCTGGCTTTCATTTTGATATTTTGTATATTTTTATGTGCAAAATTTGTGTATATTTTGTCTTGTTTTTATTATTAATAATATCTTCTTCTTATTTTCCTATTCATTTCGGTGATTATTTGTGCGGTAAGCCAATGAACCAAGATCATTTTCGCTATTAATATTACAGTGTATACAAATGTGTGTATGTAAATGCACCTGCGGCGACTATTAGCTTCATATCAGTCGAGAGCGTGTAATCTAGCAACTTAAAGCTACGCCGTATATGTATGTATACGTGTGTGTGTGTGTGTGTGTATGTGCGTCAGTGCACGTGTTTTCTTTAATCTGATTATTTAATATTTCGCTACTTTGAATTTGCTGCACAGGCATACACACATACAATGCGAGTTCATAAAAGTTAAAAGCGCCAATCAGCGTCTGCACAACGGTGATTAACGGTGTCGTTCGAGTGCATTAGCATTTCAATTTTTGAGACAAAATTTTTGAAAGTAGAAAATATGCATAGCATTATGCCAGCACATAATTTGCACTAAGCTAGGCATTTGAATGTATAATATTATATATACGAGTATGTACATATGTATGGTTATGGTTTGTATGTACAATTTATTGGCAAATATTTGCTTTTGAGTTCAGCAACTTTGGACGCGTCGCTTCTAAAATAATTACAGTTTTGAAAAGTGCGCTGAACTTTTGTATAAATACATACATACATATATAATATACTCGTACATCTATCTAGTATTTAAAGAAAAATATCTATTTATATATAAGTCGACATGCATGTGTTTACAACATTTGTCAATGAATAAATTTGTATAATTTTTTTTTTTACATTCATACACATTGCACATTTTCCTATATTAAGTTGGAAGTTTTTATAGCGATGACGTCATCAAGTGAGCTGCTGCCATTCATTTGCATTTAATATCAAATCAAATGTATGGTTGGATGTGCTTTAGCCTCATTCTTGTTGGGTCAGTATTATAATGAATGCAAGCAATTATACTGCATACAAACATACATATGTATTTATGTACATGTGCATATTTGTACTTTAATTACGAATAATATTTTAATTATTTAATTTGTATTTTTAGAATAACCTGTTGCCCCCGTTGAAAAATTCTCATCTTATAAAATGCATCACAGCTTATTTTTAAATGCACTTCAGAGTGAGGATTGGGAGTTCCCAAAGATTTTTTTAGTCGAAGACACCAGAATAAAAGGACGAGAAGAAATTCTCAAATTCAATTGGGCTTAAGACCCTCACATGAAGCTTTTCTGGCATACTTTGGAAGTGCTGGAGCTCAGCAGGAAGATCTCACCCACCCCCCTCCCCCCCCAAACTTCGTACTGGGCATCTATTCAATGATTTACTAATTTCCAGCAATATAGTCTGAATTGGAGGCCTCCTACTATTCGGGAGCATTTCAATAGCTATCAGGAATTGAAGTAATCACCTTCTCAGTCCTTGCCCTGTGCTTGTCTTTTTTTCTCTCCGGAACTTCGTTGATGTGGTAAAAGCAGCTCATAAAATCGGTTAAATTTAACCAAAATTGAGTTGATGACAAATTTTAAAAAGGTTTTCTTTCAAATCTTCTGAGAAGGAACAAAAAGCAACCATTAAAGGTTAGTTTGAGACCTCTGCTGGTGCTTCTTAGATTGGTGAAGACCTAACTATTGTTTATAATGGTAATTAAAGACCTCTTTGTGAGCTTCTGTGACTGATCTATTAACAAAAAGGCATGAATGTTGAAGCTAGAGACGTTTCCAGATCTTTCTAAGCCCATTTAAATTGCAAAAATAAAGCCGAAGACCTTTTTTGAGAACTCTAAGCTTGAAGACATTGTAAAATTGTAGTTGTTAGCCTCATCAGGAGCCGGACTAACAAGTTTTTAGACTTCAAATAGTCGCTTTTCCCGAGTTTCTCCACTTTTTAACCTGCTCTGGTTCTAAATTTAAGCTTCTCACAGAGGTTCAATTGTGAAAATTAAGGACTTTACTTCTCTTGAGGTGTATACCGTGTGGCACTATGACAAAATATTTACATTGGAAGTAAGGAAGAAATATTTAAAGAGAATCAGAGTCTGAACTTTTTATTGTAGTTTTTGTTGCGGCAGATCGAGTCAAAGTTCGGAATGTGCAATAATTCGTAAGTCACTGCACCGAAATCACAGCGATGAGCATAGTATTGAGCAAGTAAGGCATTGTGGACCCATTGATCACTCTTAAGTCACCTTTAGGAAGGGTTGATAGTTTTTATTAAGGGTTAGGGAAAGTTTATTGCTAACAAACTATTCAAAAGTGGAATCGGTTATAGAAAGTTCTCAGAAAGAATATAATGCGAAATCAAAATTATTACCAAGAGTCAGTCCATTTTATTAGTCTAATAGTCTCAGATCTGAAAGCTAAAAAAGTTTCTATTTCTCTCTATAAAATTTTATTCAAAGTTATCAACTCGATTGTCAAACGCGCAAAATTCACTAGAAAACGCTTTGATCGGGTATCGATCCTCAGAGATATGTAATGTCTTATCTGGGGTAGCTGTGGTCATAACACCAATTTGGAAGCGCTTTGAGACCTGAAAAGACTGCAGAAGTTTTATGTTCTTCAAATATCAACATCGCTGAGTAGGCACTTTGCTGCTCACACGTGCAACTAGACAGTGCAAACCAAAACAAACCAAAACCAAAACCGCAAATGAGCGCGAGCCTCTGGCCACCATTTCCCATTGAGTTATATGTACATACATATACATACATATACATATATATATTAGATCTCAAAATTTTGTTCGAACAGCTCGAGCTGCTCGAGCATTTAAGCAACGAAAACTCGCACACTCATCATTCATTGCTCATGAGCTTGAGCTTGAGATTGAGCTCGAGCAGTTCGAGTTTTTTCGATAATTTTGGATAAAATTTTTTACTTTTTTCCCAGAATTTTCTTCTATAATTTTCATTTTATTTATGCAAAGCGTAAAACTCATTGAAATACTAACGGCATTTTGACAAACCAAATTGAAATTTGAAAAATTTCTAATCAACATTTGAACAGTTGAGCAGACGAACGAGTATCGAGCTGGTCCCAATGCTCGAGTTTTAATATAAATATATATAAATAAACCTCTTTATCGTCTAACTAATTATAGGCAAATATCAACGAATGTACAACAATGAATACTTAAATAATCGAAAAAAGGAAGCATCATAAAATAATCACGCTCACCTGTTCAGCGTATTTATCGGACGGCTACCGAAACGTCCCTTTATAATGGCGGCATTCATATGCAATCTACTATCAACGATTTGAGCTATCTCCAAACCAATTTCAAGATAAGTTATCACAGCGGTTATATTGCCTATTTATTGGGGGAAAAAGAAGAAAGAAATATAGTTTTAAATATGTGCAAAAGAGTGGTATGTTCTACAATATAAGAAGAAAAAGTAAAAGAGGAATTATTGTAAAGAAAGTCTTTAGACATAGTCGAATTAAGCTCCAGATTTGAGTAAATCTTTCTCTCTGTCTGTCTCTCTCTCTCCCTTTTCTCTCTTTTTCTCTTTCTCTCCATTTCTCTCTATTTCTCTCTCTTTCTCTCTATTTCTCTCTATGTCTCTCTCCTCTGTTTCTAACTTTTTATCTCTCTCTCTCTCTCTCTCTCTATGTCTCTCTCTCTCTCTCTATTTCTATCTTTCTATCTCTCTCTCTCTCTCTCTCTCTCTCTCTCTCTCTATTTCTAACTTTCTATCTCTCTCTCTCTCACACTCTCTCTCTCTCTCTCTATTTCTAACTTTCTATCTCTCTCTCTCTCACTCTCTCTCTCTCTCTCTCTATATGTCTCTCTCTCGGCACGTCGTGGTGTTCTCTCTATGTACATTGAAATTTTTTTAGGGCTTCATTAAGTAAAATCACTTCGCAGTTGTACAGCGAGACCACCCCTGGTGTGCTCCTAGTTCGTCATTAGTGGAACGAACGGAAAGGGAGTTTCGTTCTTACTTGGTAACCACAACAGTTGAATCATTAAATCATTTGAATTTAGAGAGAATGTGACTGCGTGGTGAGTATCCGGATCCATGAGCCAAAATTATTGAAAAAGTTGTCTAATGACAGTTGTCCCTCGTCAGGGTATGTAAACGCCTCCAAACGAGTCGGACACGAAATTTGCAAAGCTACTTTTGCGCGCCTAAGCAGTGAGTTCTTCAGTTTCCTTATGTCATCTACCGTTTTGCATATATTTCTGAAACAATGAGCTCCGATCTGAGAGAAATAAGAATCCAGATTTCCACTTTCTCCCACTTACATGATCGTACACTGTAAACTATTATAGGCGAGCAGAAAAGAAACCAGAGGACGTGTTGGGCACATTATATTGTGAGAGAGATAAAGAGCTTACCAGTAACTTTCACTTAATTTGAGTTTATGTTTATGACCAAAATGGACGCTTTTCGATTGATCAAACCCAAATCAAAAACAAAACAGAACACAAAATTCATTGCCGTTACTATTAACTTACGTTCTTTGTCTCTAATCTGCATTTTCTCCAAATTATTAACTGTCTTATCATTAAAGATGATCACACCGCCCGCGCCACGCTCGTACACATGCCGCACTTTATCCTCAAACGTACAATAGCCGCGACGCACCAGCGCAATCCAAGCAACACCCTCCGGTGGCAAATCCTCACCCTTCGTGCCTGCAATGTACGGGTGACAAGCCGTATCATCACTCACATTACCAAGCGCCGAAATATGCACCAAAAGCCCATCACGATTCAACACTCTACCCTCACCATAGCGTGCCTTATCCTCATTATACGCCAATTGACGACGTTCACCATCGGCCGTGTGATAAGTGAAATTCAAAAAAGCATAATTATAAACATCGATCAAAATACGCTCCTCGTTGGCGAGTAACTGTGTCGCATTCGCGGTGCGAAAATAACGATCGAGATCCTGATTCGCGATGGACATGGCCGCTACGAATGTGGTCGTAGTTGTGGTGGAGGTCAAGCGTAGACCGCCGAGCAAGAAGAGGCATGCTGAGAGCAGCAACTCCTTCGAACACATTTTTAGGCGCGGGGTAGCTATGATGGCGGTTTTTACTTTCGTATAGTAGACGGTGAAAAGTGAGTGTGGTGAGTTTCACTTTGCACAAATAATTTTATTAATTTTAGTTTTGAAGCACAGTTTTTTTTTTAATTTTTGCCTGGTATTTTTAATTTTTAAATTTTATTATTTTGAATATTTTTTACTTATTTCTTTATTTCTTTAATTATTAATATTTTTAAATTTCTTTGCTACGCTGCCAGTTGTTTCTTCGCTAATCTTACGCGTACTGTTGCAGCTTTTCGTTTGGACATTTGTTTAAAATCACTTCAAACACTTTTCCACAACTCTTTTGGTGTATTTTTAAGCAGACACGTTTTGTTTTGTTTCGTTTGATTTTTGACGTTTATCTCGCTGTTGTCGTTTACTCGTACACACATAGATATACTTTTTTTATTACGTATACATCTTTTGCTTCAACTGAACCGTTATTATTCTCGAACACACCTCTCGTCACATCAAATGCCGCAAGTGTACTGCAATGAAAAATTCAGATTAAAATTTAATTTGCGCCGAACATTGAGCGTTTTGTGTTTTGATCTTGTTATAGAGCGAAAAATAAAAAATTAAAAATTCAATAAAAACAAATAGAGAAGAAAACAACAAAAAAACAAATAACAAAAATTTATCATCGGCCTACATTAAAAAATTCTGTTTAGGAATTTAACGTGTGTTAGCAGGGAACGCTGATAAGATTACGAATTTTATTTTGCACCTCATCGAATCGTGTGAACTTCGCTAATTGAGCTTTGTGTGTAAGGGTGGTCACACAGAAGATGTGGGAGCAACGAATATAATGTGTGAAGTGAATGTGTGAGTGTTTTGAAGAGAGTGTGGGTGCAAATGGGAGAGTTTCGAAGTGAGTGAGTGAGCAGGAGATAACGTTTAAGTGTGTGTGTGTGAATATTTTAAACCTCCGAAGTGAGTGTATGAGCATGAGTACATACTGATTGGCATCCAATTTGCATATCTCAATATTGTTATTTTTTAGTAAAATTTGCAGAATAATTTTTATTTTGAATTCTAAAAATAATAATTTTGAAAATTGAAAAAAATATTTTCTATCCTTCTCTCTTTCTCTTTCTCTCTTTCTCTCCCTCTCTCTCTAATTTTCTTTACTGCACTTCTCCCTTTATGACTCTGTGTAGATGAGTAAGTACGTATATATAGATATATATTTATAAAATCATAATGTTATTGCACAAATGTTGTGATAAAACTGACAATTTGTATTATTAAATAATTTACATAAAACGTAAACGAAGTAATGACGATGTTAACGATGCATATCAGTTTTGACATATATATGTATGTATATACAATTTTTTGATAAAAAGAATATTAATAATATTATATTGGCTGCACATGTCGAGTTGAGAGCTTTAAAGAGTTTGACGTTTTGAAAACATTAATATTATGAATAATTTTTATTTTTTTTTTACTTCTTATTTAATTAATTTTTTTTTGTTTTATTTTGTTATTTTTTTGTGTTTATTTTTGTTTTTTTTTTTGTTTCTTTTTTTTGTTTCTTTTTGTTTTTTTTCTTTTCTTTTTTTTTCTTTTTTTTTTTTGTTTTAATTTACATAAATTCCAAAATTTTAAAGAGAGTTTCCAGGTCAACCGGAGTAGAAATTTTGAAGTTGGCCTGCTGGGAAACCAGTTTTACTATCACTCAAAGCTTTAAAAAAACTTTTTTTCTAGATTATGTACTACTGAAAACCAAAAAAAGAAATTTTTTGAAAAGCAAAAGACAGATCTTAATCAAATTTGTGCAATTCTTCAATATAATATTTGCTAGCGCTTGTAAAAAATTGTTTCTAAAAAATTTTTTTAAGAAAATTCTTAAAAATGGAACAATTATCCATTCGAGTATAGAAAAAAACTGCTGCTATTGTGCGTAAGGTGATATAAAACTAAGGTTGCTTAATTCTAGAGAGTTGTAGCCATGATTTCAGAAAACTATATACAGCAGAAATATGAGATATATTTAGCTCTTTCTACAATAATATGATATGATAACTAAATTTTACAAACAAGAAAAATATAGATGTTCTAATTATCTATTTGTGTAAGCAGCCAATTAACATTTCATTACGCTTTCAAATCATTGATTGCAACCACTTAAGATATAATTATTATTTTTTTATGTAAGCTTAATGTAGATCTGTATATTCTGTTTAACTTTCATTCATACTTTTATATTATTAAATATATTTGTTGTCATTTTTCGACTAATATACAAAATAAAAAAACATTTGAAACCAAAATCTCGTGGTATGTCAATCTTTGGGAGGCAAAAAAGCATGGCATTGGTTACTAAGAACTCACATGAGTATGTCTGTAGGTATGAACTTTTATGTACGAAAGTCATTGTGCTGCATAAAGCTATTGACGTTTTTTTCAAGGCTCTTGATATACAAATACATGCAAAAAAAAAACGAAAACAATAACAATACATAATATTGTGTGGTGCTATTGTGAGCCATAGAAAATATTGAAAAAAATACAAAAATACAAAAAAATTTACCAAAAAGTAAAATAAAGTAATATGATAAATATAAAAAATTAAAAAATTAAAAAATTAAAAAATTTATTTCCAAAGAATTTGCATATTTATCAGCTGTTAGGCACGTTGAGTTAAGCTATTAGGGTTTCATTGTGCGGCTTTATATGCCAGAGGCATATAGTACATATGTGATTATTAAGGTATATCAAATTATAATATATCTGCACATATGTACATAGGTAAACATATGTCATAACAAAAGAGTGCAATTCGACAATGAAATGAAAGTGTGAAACCCAACAAAATTTATTAAATAAAATCAAATTATTGAGATTCAAACAAGAATACACTTATGTGAGTATATATATATATAAAGAATATATATTTCATATACGTATAAATAAAAATATAAAAAAGTAAATATGTGTATATTCGTACAATATACATAAGGATATACATATATTTTGAACAAAAAGAAAATGAAACCTCAAAGGCTCACACCTGAACTACTGTCAAACCAATATAATTTTTGCAGTTGTCGGTGGCTTTGTACATATATGTACATATGTATATGGAATTATACTCGCACATGCATATATGTACGTATATATACATGATATTGCTTCAATCAACAAAGTGGCGAAGAAGCTACATTTCAAGAGCTGTCATTTTTGCAGACGCTTTGCCTGATTGCCGTTCAAGCTGAATTGATTGGCGAAATGACTTCAAGGAGGAAGAAGAAGAAGGTGCGTAATAAATATTAATTTTCAGAAATTTAAATGAAAAAAATAATTTACATAAATTAAAAAAAAAAATAATATTAAAAAAATATATAATATTTCATTCTTTGTATGCGCAAAGGAAGCAATAAAGAATTGTTCACCGCTTTCAATTTGGCGCCAAAAGGCTGGGGATTAGCATAACAAAAGGCAAATGAATGTGTGGACGGATGTGTGCAAGCTTGATAACTCCTTGATGGATGCATTAAGCGTGCGGTGATGTACAACATTTTTTATATACATACATACATATTAGCATAAATGAAGTCATAATTATATGTATTTTTTATGTGTTCTTCATATTCCATTATTCATTTTAATATGTATATTTGCTTGTATGCATATTTATGTCTGCCATACAAATGTTCTTGAATTTATACCTCATACCCGCCGCATGGATTGGCAGAAGCGGCTGTCTCATTATGTGTGCCAAACATGTGCGAGCTTTTCACAAATATACGTACATATATATATACATACATATATGTATACATAAATATGCGTATGGTAAAATTTAAGACTTCGACTATAGCAAACAATTCAAATTTATTATAATACGCGAAGCTAACAAAAAAAGAGTTTCTACTTTTTGTCATCCAAATTAGGAACAAAAGCGGAATTTTGATTTTTAAAAAGAACACGCGACACAAACAAAAATTTCACTCTCGTGAAAAATTAATGTCTGCCTGAAATAAGATAAATACATAAAATAAATGAAAAATAAAATGAACATAAAAAAACAAAGAAATATAAAATTAAATTATTTAATTAGATTATATAATTAAATGATTTAAAAAAAATTCATTAAAAACCAAAAAGATCAAGAAAAAATAAAATTGAAATTTCATAATTAAAATGAAAAAAAATACACAAAATGAAAATAAATAAAATAGAATAAAATAAGATAATCTAAAATAAAATTGAGTAAAATAAAATAAAATAAAATAGATAAAGAAAAAAAGAAAATAATAAATAAAATAAAATAAAATAAAATAAAATAAAATAAAATAAAATAAAATAAAATAAAATAAAATAAAATAAATTTAAATATATTAAAATAAGTTGGTCCATAATAAAATAGAGTAAAATAGGATAAAATAAAAGAACCTAAATTAAATTGAGTAAAATAAATCAAATGAAATAAAATAATATATATGATATAGTAAAAAAAATTAAAATTAAATAAAGTACAGTGAATTACAGTAAATAATTTAATTAACAAATTAAAATAAATTAAAATAAGGAAGGGAAAAAGAAAAGAAACATTAAAGAAATAACTAAATTAAAATATAATAAAACAGGTTTATCTTAAATACAAGAATTCATTAAAATTAAATTGAAAAAAATTAAAGTTGAAATTAAGCTTTTTTATTAAAATAATATGAAATAGAGCATAAATATCAAATGAAATTAAATTTAAGTTATTGAAAATAAAACAGATTTAATTAAAACCTTTTTGAAATAAATACACAAAAATAAGCTCAAATAGAGTAAGAAGAAAGAAGAATTTAAATATAAATTAAAAAAAATATATGAAATAAAACTAAATAAAATAATTTATTAGTAAAGAAAAAGTTAAGGTTTAAAACTTAATTTTATTCCATTATTACTACTTTTTTAATTATTATTATTTTTTTTTATATGTCAGATTGCAGACCGCCACAAATTGCCGGTAGTAGTTAAAGAGTTTTAACAACAACAAATCATTGTTTCTTTTCCCTATAAATATTTACATTTGAAAGACAAAGACGAAGAGGCAATCGAAACAGCGCAACATATGAGGCAGACATAAACCAAGAAGAAAGAAAAAATAAATAAACAAAACAAAATAAACAAATAAAAGCCAGCTGTAGCAATTCATAAATACCTGCATATATATAGCAACATGTTTCAATGCATATATGCATATAAATATGTATGAGCAACAAAAACGTGATTGTAAATTATGAAAAAAACGTGATTCAAATACAAACGGAATAGGCATTAACACCTTATACGGCGAGATTTCATGCGAGGCGGCAGAAAAAATATTAAATGCACAAACAAGGTTAGATATATGTATGTATGGATGTACTCAGAGAAATCCGATACATGATTAAATTTGTATGATAATGTCACCGCAAAGTGATCAACAGATATTTATGCTGGTATACCTTTAATTATTTTTGTTGTAATAAATCGAATCGAAAAT